GGAGGAGAACCAGACATAGGATCAGGATGGCCAGAGAGAATGTAAACTCTCTGCCCTTGGAGGTTTTTAGTCTCAGACAGGACAAAGTCACTACTGAGCTTTTCTGAACTCTGTTTTGACCCTGTTTTGAGCAGAAGTTTGGATGAACTGACCTCTTAAGGTGCTTCCTGTTAGGGCATGTTAAGACTGTAATTTGGTTAATCATGCCTGGGGAAAGTCTTGGGGATCCAGTCAGATAACTGCTTCAACATGTGCTGTAGGATGATCGATGCTACAGGGAAAAGCAGTGGCTGGATGCAATTCTCGAACCTATTGTGATACCATGTCTGGACTTGAATGACAATAGAAACCCAGGAGAGAACTCACACACTGCAAAAGGGCTATCAAGGCTGAAGCACACGCCTTTGGCTGCGATGTTCTCCAGAGACACAGAGACGTTCTTTGGCCGCTAAGCAGCACTGCATGGAAAGAGGCCGTTTTTGCAGGGTGGAACGGGAGCAGGCCATCGTCTGCTCACCAGCAGCGCAGCCCCCGGGCTCTGGCTCCGCTGGCGGATGGAGCTGTGCTGTATCTCCTGAGCTACTGGCTTGGCCGCATCAGTCAGTGGACAGGAGGACACACAGGACTTGAATTTTTTTCTGCTCCAACCAAGAAGAGCCCAGTCCCTGCCAGGCAGCATTCGAGTCAGGCATTTGTATCACAGCTCACATGTATGTAGCAAAAGGGCACTGTACTATCTGGAGGGAAGGATCCCTTCCATCTTTCAGGTGAGGGTAGAGCAAGATCCAGTAACAGGAGGCATTAGGTTAGACAACATGAAATTTGAAATAAAACAGTGAAGGAAATTAAAAATTGTCTTATACACACATCTTACCTGGAGTGTAGCTGGACTCACCCTCACTGCCAGCCAAATGCACCAGCAGTCAGATTCACATGCATCACAAGAATGCCATCATGATAAAACTCAAGGCCTGTGGTGCATTTAAATCCATTGTTTTTTAATATAAATTACTGCTTTCTTTCTATCATGTAAAAATCCTAATATACTAATGTCATTCATGCAGGGTTTTTTTTTTTTGTCTTACAGTAGGTGATGCAACTATCAACTCATTGCTATTTTGGGTTTTGACACAGGAGGACTGTTCTGTCCAGACCAGAAACCTGCCAGACTATGAGACTTCAGTTATAAGAGCAGTCATCTGTTATAATAGATGATCTGAACCAATGGAATGTAGAGCCACATCCTGCTGTTAATTAAATAATTTCTTATATTCTAATTTTGCAGTTAACACTGACTTGACATTCTTAGGTGAAACTTTTTTTTTTTCCCTCATAAAGAGACAATGTGTTTAGCAGCTTTTACAAAACAAACAAACAAACAAAAACAACAACAACAAATGAAGTCCTGAAGTCTCTGGGCTGTTTTAAGAAGATTATGTAATACTTCCCTGTTTGTTTTAAAAAAGAACTACACACAGACAGATATCAATGTGTTGAACAAGTTAGGGCATGAGTGACATAATTTGTGTCATATTTAGCTAATACAGCTGCTTTGTGACAATAAATATCTAGTGGTTTATCTGTTAGGCAAATAAAAGTGCTTCCTGCCTTTTAGGGGAGAAAAAAAAAAAACGGTTAAAGTAATAGACAAAAATACAGCTCCTGCAATGTGCTCTGATTGCCTGCTGTTGTGTGCGCCTGTACATAAGGTACACAGGGTGCTCATACGCACAAAGGAATAAACAAGAGAGCTCCCAAATCGAGCAGGAATAAGCTATGGGTTACTGCTTCTTCAGTGTACCTTAGGTGGGTAATTACCCCAGACTGCACATGCATGGAACATAGTTTGCTGGATTAATACCCTCTCCAGTGCATAATCACTTCTCAGCAACTGATTTTTTCACACCTTCACTTATTTAGCAGCAGGAGACAGACAGAGACAGCCAGGCACAAAGGCATCGCAAAGGGCACCACACTGGAAAGCAAGGACAGAGCCAAGGGCAGTGTTCTGGAAAATGTAAGATAGCCAAGTATGGCAATGACAGCATTGAAAATATGCTGATAATACACTTCACAGGAGGCAGCAGGCCTGCTTGTACCAAACGTAATACCTCCACTCTACCATTAGCTTCTTATAAAATTAAAAGACTCCGCACTATTCAAACAGCTTCAGCCCCGACAGGAGGGAACGGGATGTACCCTGCAGTTTTCTCTCCGTCATGCTGAGCCTGTTGGGCTCCTGCTCCTGTCTGACAAGTTTTCCGGTGACAATACCCAGACCTTTGCTCTGCCCTTACCCTTTAGCAGACTGGCCACCCTCCTTCAGATTCCCACTACACATCTCCCACTGACCGTCTGCTGTTACGGACTTAACAGAGATACGAGAAGTCACTTGTTGAAAGGTGATCAGGTTGTTACAGTCCAGCACAAGGTTGCAAGCTCATTATACTATTCCTGCCTTCAAGACTAAGCAATAGCGATAATCATCTGAGTTAGAGTCTTAGCTAAGCTGAATGTGTATATTTTGACTGATTTTGGTAAGGTTGCCTTGGCTTAGATAGCATTTAGCGCAAAAGCACTTGCCCATTAGACAACTTGGATTTCAGCCCTTGGTTAAAGGAAGTTTGTGTGCTGCCCCTCGGTGTACTCAGTATAGTATTACTAGGGAAGAATCTTTTTTATTTCTTGTTATTCTCTATAGTCATCAGGGCCTGGATGCTTTAGGTATAGCTGTTGAGTGTGGCTGTTTTGCTTGGTAGCACTTTGAGGATACTGTACCACAGAAACCCCAGGCTTGTGCTTCCCCCCGGAGCACTGAGGTCTACTGCAAAGCTAGTGTGGGCTTGATTTATGAATCACTTGCAGAAAAAGCGCTCTCTGCTTAAACCTTCTAGGTCAGGTTTTGCTGAAGTCGTTTTTATATGTCTGTCTGTTTAAAAGATGATAATAATAATGATAATAATAATAAAGCCCCCTGCCTCCAGGAAAAAAAAAAGGCATAAAAAGGGACAAGTAAGGTTAAAATAAGTTTAAAACATAATGAGGCCCGAGATCGTTAGCAGCTTCTTCAACAGTTTTGTTTCTAAAGCAAACTGCTAGCCAGCCCTACACTTCCCTTCCCACATCAGTCCTCTGCTGTAACCAGCTTCCCCGAAATGAGAAGTGGTCTTTGCAGCTTTGCTATAAGGAGTGTGGGTGTCAAGACAACCTCCCAGATAAGAGAGGAGCCACAGAGTGAAACAGTCTGAAATCACCTGTTACAGCACACTTGTAAATAAGAAAAAGCCAAGCTGAGCCTTTTACCATAACCACATCCAGCAGGAGTCAAAACTGTGAAAAAAACCCTGAAGTGTGATTGAGGACATACCACCGTGGGGGGACCGACATGCTGGCTGTACTTAGGTTTAGAAAAAAAAATGTTCTGAAAGGTTCTCTTGCTGCCACATACTCTATTTTAGCTCTAGGGCTCACCCTGTAATGTCATACATATTCTAAGTAGTAAAGGAACCACCTGATGTCCAGCTTCATTTCAGGGAAAGGGAGGGCATAGGTATGATGAGGTCTAGAAGACAAGTTTGGATGTACTCAAATTACTGGTATATCAGAAGAGTAGAGACACCTTGAAAGGTCAGTATCAGGAACATAGCATATCTTTAATGATGCTAATGATATAAACAATCCCCCCAGATATTTAGGACTTGATTTGGTGAAGTAATAAGTGCATGTTGTACTGTACTTCAAGCACCTGAGTAGTTGCATTGATTTCAACCAGGTGACTCAAATGCCTGAGGCGTTATACTTCACCACACAGAAGCTTAACACACTGGAGAGCACTGTGTTGCACTGGAGAGCGACACAGCTGATTTTCCTGGCATTTATCCACCCTCTTGGATGCAGGGATTAGTGGGTCTTCCATTTATAAAATTGTATTTTGCTGGCATTCATTAGCCTGCTCCCAGGCTCCTTTGATTTGCAGCACAAGGAAAGCTTGCCCCTCTAATCCCAGGACTCAAAACTCCTTTTTGCTCAAAACTAATCGCACATTTGTGCGTATCTGTCTCTGTTCAGTCTCACCATCAGAAACAAACAGATCATATCTGTGCTCCTATTCTCCCATGTTCCAAAGGAAAACATTGTCTAAGAAAACACACACAAAAATTTTTGTTTTCTTAGGCAATATTTTCTTAGGCAAAAAAATAAAGCATAATGGGCTTTATTTATTATTCTGCTTATAATTACTGACAATGTCCCAGAAAAATGCAAAGCTTGCTGTTTTAAGATCTTTCACTGATTGTAACTTAGCATGTCATAGGCCCTTTTAGCACCGGAGACATCATTCTGCCTCAGTAATCCCTTCAGAGAATTCCTTCCAACAAATATAGGAGAGTGCCATCACGATGAGAAAAACCCTTTCCCCTAAAACTGTTTACCATCCAAGAATAAACAGCAATGAGAAGAACTGCTTCCCAAAAAAACATCAAGGGTCATCATCCACTTACCGGGAAATTTAGATACTAAAGGTATTGTCCATAAGCAAATCACCCTTTCCTGGGTATTCCAGTCAGCTGAAAGTCAGTTAAAAAAAATAAATAAAAAAGGGTGGTTATTGCAGGGCTGTGTGAACAGACAGCTGTCCTAGTGGGCACCGTGGCCGCGGCGTGGCTGGCGTGGCTGAGCCGTGCGGTCATCGCGAAGGAGCCCGGCACGGCTCACATTTCGTTCCGATTCACACACGGGGCGGGGAGCCGGGGAGGCTGGACCGGCCCCCCCGCGACACCAGATCTGGCTCGTTAACATGTCTGGAATGCGCGCGAACCTGCCTCCTCGCTGGCAGGGCCCAGCGGCATACTTGGATTCCCAGGTTGGAAGATTATCTCATTCAAGCGAAGCTCTCCCGAAGATATATAAGCAAAGCTAGCGTGGTGGCCCCTGCAGAGCTTGCTTGAGCCCTCGGGAGCTTCGTCCTCACAGGAGCACAGCCTCGACCGCTGGCAAACATGATGATGATGATGAAGGTCGAAGAGCTGGTAGGTCCAATCTTCTCTCATTTATGCATTTATGCATCATTACTTTTCCTTCTAGCCTGTTGTTGTACCAGTCAGAAAGGGACAACCTGTGGGGATCATTGAGGGGATTTAGAGTGTGACCATCGGTGCTGTGCTCTAGGTATAAAAGCTGTATATCTTATACGTTATGCTAAAATGTTCTTGTTTTAACCTCCCCTGCGAAGGGGACTCATCATTGATACCACTACATAGCTGTGAGGGTTTGGCATCACCAGGTATTTCACCAGACTAACCCAAACTTAGCTGTGCATTTTCTTTTGTGCTTGATTCCTTTTTAAGAGCTATTCACACAAAGTAATTCCAGCCCAGTAAGGGATTAAGAGACGTATCAATACAGGGAAACCAAACTTTTTTCTTTCCACTTTTAAACCAGCATCATGATTTACTAACAGCTCCTGTGCTCTCTGATTTTCACGGTATAATAGACCTTTGAAAAATAACATCTAAATCAAATCACGGAGGACGGGCACCCCATTGTAGAGTTCAGACAAAGTATTATTGATTTGCCCAGCAGAAAGGGGCACCACAACACTGGAATATTTTAAGGAAAGTCTTTGTCCTTCCAGATGAATAAGTTAAAATGAAACTGCCATAAAACCTAGCTATTTAAGCCTGCCTTCAATTCTTCAGCAAGGCCCTGCCAGGTTCTCTAGCGTTAAACTCTGAGAAACAAATTTTCATAAGGATGATTGAATGAAAAGTCAGTCTAGGTCACGTGAATTTATTAAACCACTCTCAAAACTTGCCACAGCCTCCACTAAGCTTAACATGTGATCTTTTTGAACACACTTAATCGAATATATTTCCAAAAATTATTCAAAACTGCCAACAAAACAACCAAGCATCCTACGGTTTGTGCACAGGAACCACTTTATGCTACTATCTTGCTAAGTACTATAAATGGAGACTTTGGTGTTTACAGCAAGAGTAAGATCAGCTTTGAAATTTTCTCAGCAACCTGATTTTGTTGCTCCATATTTCACTCTAAGTGCAAGGTCCCAAGGCAAGTGGCCTCTCCTCTCTGCTTGCTCAGGGCAGCTCTTCCCACCAGAGCCTTTGACAGCCACAGGCCGTGATGCAAACCCTGAGATGCCAACGGGGTGTTGCTCTGCGGTGGCGGAGGGGCTCCCTGCAAGTGAAACTGCTCCGTGTGCTCACGCGCAGTTAACCCAGGCACGGGCTGCGCGATCTTTGCGTTCTACCACACGTTCTGGGAGCGGGACACCTAGCGAAGTGACGTGCAGTTAGCTCCAGGTAACCCGCCGTCCCAGGAGGCGGCCGCTTCAGTCATGAAACTGCTGCTTGTATCATACCCCATTTGCTTCTGCAGGTGACGGGGAAGAAAACTGATGATAAAGAGACTGGCAGTTTCCTCCCTGAGGACTTCAAAAATGGAGAGTACGAAGCTGCTGTAAGATTAGAGAAGCACGAGGATCTAAGGACAGTTTCTGAGCTGACCCGAGGAGAACTGGCCTATGAGAAGGAGAAGAAGCTAGAGGCAGAGGTAAGCTCCTAGGGTTGGCGCTCGTTGTTTTTGATGTCCTGTGCACACTTGGTTCGGCAGCCCGAGGAGTCTTGTCTCCTCCTAACTGAGAGATAAGGGCCCCGAGAGCTGCATAACCCAAGCCCCAGCAGATCGCTGCCACATGCGCCAGGGCCTGCGGCCTGTGGGAGGCGGGAGCTGCTGGCTCCCACACAGGATGGCTCCAGGCTGCACCACGGCTCCGCAGGAAGGTCCCTCTCCGCAACGTCCCCACGGGCTCTCTCTCGCTGTCAGTAACGGCCAAGACACCTCCAGAGGCACCGCTGCTGGCAGCCCCCAAGACAGCAAGCTTGGGGGCTCCCCCGGGCCTACCAAGCCCAGGAGAGCTCTCAAACTGGCACTGCTTTGCTTTCCACTGGGGATGTAGAAGTGCATTTCTGAAGCCAGAAGCCTTCCCTACCATAAAAAAATTACTTTTATGAAAATACATCAGTGTGCTTGCTAGCACCTTGGGAAAAGAGAAAAATGATACTGGTCTACAAAAAAGCATCATTTTGTGTTTCTGTAGCATGACAATTCCTCCCATATCACCCAAACTGATTCATTTTCCCCAAGATAAAGTATATGTAACATTTTACATCCTTTGGTGAATTAAAAACCAGCTGGTCTCAGAACCCAAAGCAATATGAGAATGAAAAGGATTAACTAGCAGGGGAAATAAGGCTTCAGTCTGAAAATGAAGGGTGAAAAGGTGAGCCTCAAAAATATTAAGTAAAATAAATACTACTACTGATCCTCACCTTCAGTTTGGAGATCATTACTTGCTAGAGAATTTTCTAATTCTCTGTTAAAAACAAAACAAAAATGTCCTAACAGTTCTGGAAATTGCTGGAATTGCCAGTTGACCAAAAGCCCACCAAGCCAACAGAATGTTTTACATTAACTCAATGATCTTAATGCAGAGGACAGTAAAAACAGGGAGGTGAAAATGACTTGAACAAAAATTCAGTATAAAGAAATATCCTTATGGCATCATTTCACCAGTATATTTACCCTTAAAGACACCATGAGAAAATTTATCACTTGTTTTCATCCTGAGTCATTCCTTGTTCTGCAAGTCACCCTTCTAAAGTCATAGACTCAAGGACAGCTCATGGCATTTGAGATCTTGGCCCTTAAATCAGGCAACACAGATGTTAGCACCTTGATGTTAGCAGTGACCCATACTGACTTCCTGCAGTCATGCTTTTTACAAGCAGGCTTGAAGAAGTCTTTAACATTTACCAACCTGCCCTCTCAAGGACATTGGAGACGATCTTGTAGCTTCCGAAAGTGTAACACTTTCCAAATGAAATGCTAAAAACCAGTATAAACTTTCAAATTCACTTAATTGTACTTTTTTCATCAAAGAGAATTAAATAATCAGGCAGACTACAGCCTAAAAGTGGAAGCTTGGTAGGAACCATTAAAACTGCCCTCATAAATTGATCACAAGATTTCTCAAATTGTTGAGCCAGAAGGGACTGTGGTGCTGCTCCAGCTCCTGATATGACCAGAAAAAATATGTTATCCAATAACACACATCTGAAGAGAGACAGTATTTCGAAAAGGGGACAATAATATATGGAAAACTAAAGATGGGGTAGATTTCCATGTGTCCTTAGTAACATATTATAATGCTTAATTAGCCCCAGCTGTTAAATCGGCATCTTAATTCAAAGTTCATCTAGGCTTAACCTAGTGGAACTCAGCTGAAGAATAGCAAGCCCTGTCCTACCACCCTGAAAGGGAGACGTGCTTACCTGCTGCTCTACTTGCTGCCTCCCCTGCTCTGTTTCAGCTCAAGAAGAAAAAATTACAGGAGAGGCCAAAACTTGAAAACTTGGAAGATCTTGAAAAAATTATTCAGCTGAGGAAGAAGAAAAAATGCAAGAAAGTGAAAGTGCCCGTTTTAAAGGAACCCGAGCCAGAAGTTATCGTAAGTCGTTTTATGAAGAGCCCTCTTCTGTGACAGGGCCGGTGGGGTTTCACACTACTGTAGAGCTGCCACATGCATTTACGTCCTGCGTATTTCTCTCCAGCAGACAGGACCAGTGGATATTCCCACCTTCTTTAGGGCTGCACTGGAGAACAAGTTGCCAGTAATCGAGAAATACTTGTCAGACAAAGGGGATCCAGACGTCTGCGATGAGGTACAATATTTACTTTTACTTCAAAGCCTGATGTAGAAGAGGGATTATTCGAGAGAGCAAAAATAACTTTTACCACAAAGTTTTGTAGCTTCCACACTTTTGAGTCAAAGAAAAGGGGGCAGGAGGGGAGTGAAGTGTAAGAAAGTAAACATCAGGAGTTTGATGCACTACATTTTCCAGTAATAAAGAGGCTACTAGGGTCCTTCAGAGTAATGTTATCACTAAAGAACCTTTATATTTAAAAGAAAGAGGTTGGGGACTGGGAGACCCTGCTTCCTGTAACAGTGGTTTTTCAGTGCTACAGATGGACAGACAAGGATTTTTTTTTCTGCAGAACTCCAAAAGGGCATGCAGCAGAGATGCTGTGCCCCGTAGTGCACAGGCTGCATTGGCAAAATGCAGCACAGTTTGTTGCATGGAGGAACACAACAGGCACCATTTTAAAATTTCTCTGTCATACTGCAACATTCCTCATGCCATTTAAAATGCCGGGTAGGCAGCACTCTAATAGTAGAGTGCTATTTAAATTTAGCAGATTTCAGGTCTCAAAAGTATTAGCTCTGGAAAATGAATCAGCATAATATATGTGTGTTTGCCATCATCCCAGGTAGGCAGTGAGAAAAGATTTAAAGAGGTCTTTTGGAGCCACATTTAATATCTGATTTTGCACTTTTTTAATTGACAGTACAAGCGCACAGCATTGCACAGGGCATGCTCTGAAGGACATCTAGAGGTGGTAAAAAAGTTAGTGGAAGTTGGAGCCCAACTCGAACTGCAAGATATGGTATGCACATTCACTTACATTTCTTTCAAAAATTCGTTTATTTCCTAACTCTGCCTAAAAGCACACGTAACAGTGAAGAATGTCAAAAGGCTGCTGCTACCTAAAATGTCTGGTATGTTTAGCCTTAAAATAACACTGTTGAGAAGAGGTTTCAAGAGGGGGCGTCTGCCTGGCTTTCCCAAAACGGCTGTGGGATCACACGGGAAGCGGAGGAGCGTATCGGCCTGGACACTGCCTGGAGGCCCAGGGCGGATAAGAGCGCTGGGGTCAGGCTGCCGCTTCCACGCGCCAGCAGCGGCGGAGGCAGCGCTGTCCCTTGCTGTCATCGGGGCTCGGCACAACGTACACGTTCTCTGTCAGGATTTCAGCACCCCACTCAGGAGAGACTTCCAGTCTGCTGGAATGCAGCCGAGGCGGCAGCTGAACGTGAACAGCTTCTGCAGCTGTTTCCCTGCTTCCCCACTCCCTGCATTTTGCCCCTTTACTGCACACACTTGGAAGCAGCCAGCCTCATTCCTGGCTGCTTAACCCTACAGTGCTTGGGGCTGGCGTGAGAAACACGAGGAATGATGAGCAGAGCAGGATCTGCAAGGCGAATTCCACCCTTTGCAGCAGAACTTAGGGGAGAAAAGTCAAATACTGGGAGCCTCAGAGTTGAAAAAGAGAACTGTTCTTTCCCTTCATTGTCATCTTCTTTGTGCTTTGGAATCCAAAAGGCATCAGATGAAAACAACAGATATAAAATAGGACATATCAGCCATAAAAATCATCCCTGGCTTTGGCATACCAAAGATGACTTCCTAGTTCACAGATTCCACACAAAAATCACCCTTTCTCACAGCCATGACTCTCTGTCTTTAAGAGCAATATGCAGTGACTGTGACAAGCGAGAAACTGGCAGTATAAAGAAATTAGGGCAAAATAAGAAAAGCTGTTACTAGAAACAACTCAAAGGTCACAGTAAAGTACTTCAGGCTAAATTGCCTGAAAATGATTTTGTGTACATTTAGAGACACAATCAGAATTGTTACGTTTGTTCTTTTTTTTAAGGATGAATTAAATTACCTTTCACTTGTTTTTCCTGGTGCAGCTTGAATCCACCGCCCTGCACTGGGCATGCCGGGGTGGCAACCTGGATGTCCTGAAATTCCTGCTTGACAAGGGAATAAACAGAAACAGCAGAGACAAGGTAGGTCCCTTTGGGATTCAGTAGCTTCTTGAGCTGCAGACGAGGAGCCGACCCTGACTTGAAACTGCTGGGTTTGGTGGCGGTTTGCCCTTCCCCTGCCGTGCCGCTGAGCGCCCTCTCTTGCCTCCCGCTCCGCAGCTGCTCAGCACCCCTCTGCACGTGGCCGTGCGGACGGGGCAGTACGAGTGCGGGGAGCACCTCATCGCCTGCGAGGCGGACCTCAACGCCAGGGACAGAGTGAGTATGAACAACACGTGGCAGCTCCAAAGTGGCACCAAGCTGACACGTCTTCACAGCTGAGCGCGCCCCAAGCTCGCGGCTGGGCCGCGCGGTGCCTATTATAGCCCTGAAGACCAGGAGAGACTATTGCGAAGCAGCTTCCTGAGACCGCTTCTAACTAAATTAAAGCGGAGATGACAGAGAGAGAAAGCATAGCCTAGGGAGGGCAGCCAGAAGAAGCAAAACAGTACCTGTCCTAAAACCTAAACTGTCTGTAACTTAAAATATCACATTGTACTAATTTAATTGCACATGTAAGACTTTACCCTGAAGACCAGGAGAGACTATTGCGAAGCAGCTTCCTGAGACCGCTTCTAACTAAATTAAAGCGGAGATGACAGAGAGAGAAAGCATAGCCTAGGGAGGGCAGCCAGAAGAAGCAAAACAGTACCTGTCCTAAAACCTAAACTGTCTGTAACTTAAAATATCACATTGTACTAATTTAATTGCACATGTAAGACTTTAAAAGCTGTAAACACAGATGCTTACCCCCTGAGTGACCACTGGGCTTCAACCACTTCTAAGACAACCAAGATCTTCACTTGCCACAGAAAACTCCCTTCTGCTACACCAGCAAGCCCATGGCCGATGGCAAGTCCAAGCTGTAGGGGCTAGATGCCTGGTTAACCATTAGTCTGATTGTTGGGCAATGAATCACCTGCATCAGCAGGGTTTCAATTTAAGAAGCTCAGCACCTAACACTGCTCATGACCACTTCACTCACAGCAGCTGCAGCCACCACCTGCAAAAAACAAACAGCTTTCAGTCCCTGTCACCCCAAATCCAATCAAAACATCCATGGGACTGACCATAACATTTACTTATTCACAGAAAACACTGACTGGCATAAAAACTGAAGCAGGCAAGGAAGAAACTAGTCACTATTAGCCTTTATGCTCTCTCAACTCACTGCTCAAACTCTCTAATGTGAGGGTGCTCCTAGCAATAGCTTGAGGTGTATTTGGGACACAAACGTGAAACTATGAAAGACACAGCCCAAAAGACCTAGGACCTGCTCTCAGGCTTTATCTGCACATGAAAGTTGCTCCTGCTTAATTTACATGTGATTCATAAGCTACCTAATTAGACCAGTACAAAGTTTTACCTGACTTCTCAATTACATGGACAAGTGGTTTACTGAGATTTCATCTAAACATGCGCCTAGCCAGTTCTGATTGGCTCAGCATAAACACACAGAGGCTCTGCTACTGAGGGTACGTGCTAGCAATATGGCTTAGACACACAGAGAGGCAGGGAAATTTCATCACCACTCTGAGCAGGACAAGCACTACAGCTGCAGAGCAGGACGCCGAGCTCACACAGGAGGCTCTGTGACCATGGGCATGTGAAATGGTCTCACCTGGGGCAGATGCGCTGGGCAAACATTTAGGAACGAGTAAAGGAGTCCGTGTTCACTGGCTGAAACTAAATCTTGCTTCCTCTGCCCCTTCAACCAGGAAGGGAAAACCCCCATGGATCTCGTGCTTCAGTGGCAGAATGGCACCAAAGAGATATTCAACAACCTGAAAGACAATTCCTACAAAAGCACACAGCTAAACAAGTTTTGAAGATAGAAGACTGCTTTCTGCTGCTTTTAAATGCTTCTTACCAACCATGAAGAAATGGTATTTTTACTGAAGATATTTATGGTTCCAGACAATTTGAGATGCCTTCATTGAAAAACAGCAAAACAAAGATGCACAGAAATTATTTAAAAATGCAGGTTGAGTGTTAAAATTCCATTTAAAATGGCTTTATTTATTCCTATTATTTATTTATTTATTTAAAATGTCATTTTTAATGATTATTCATTTTTTTACAGTTTTAACTAATATAATCTTTGTCAGCAAATTACATCCTTTTTGCCTTAGATGGCAATATTTTCAACTACATTAGTAACTTCCCTCTAGTCTTCCCATAGCTCTAAATAGCCCATACCTGCAACTGCTGCCTTGTCTCTGCTGAATTCTCACTATTAAAGTTTTAAATGAGTGGCAGTATGTGGATGAGATCAGATAGCAATGGAGGAAGGTGTACTAAGATGCCAAGTGGATTTAAAGAAGCAGTTGAGTAAAGAGGTTTGCAGATGGTTTACCAGTCCTGTGATAAAGAGCTCAAGGACAGAGGTCCTTACGCTAATTTTGGACAGTCACATTCAAATGCAATGTTATGAAGGCGAGAGAAGATGGGATCAGGACATGAAGTTCCTAAAGCTGGTCTGTTGTGAAGCCTGATAACCGAAGAATGCAAAAACAGATGATGTATATTTGTAAATTTGTACAGCTTTTTCTGTACATTTTGTACTGATCTACTTCAGTTTAAATAAACAAGTGTCTCTTTGTACTTGCTGGAGCGTGCTACACAGCGCGGCGCGTGCACGGGGAAGCTCTGCCCTTCCTTAAGGTTCTTGTCTTGACGTCTGTAAGATGCACAGCACCTTCAGAAAATTTCTCAGCTGCTTTGAGCTGCCAGTCCTTGAGCTACTCCCCCGGCACCGTTAGACAAATGCCTCTCCTTACTTTTTAGTAAACAGAAACACACGTACAAAAGCAGAGAGTCAGTACTTGGGTAGCTAGTAAAACTGAAAGTTACAGTTTTATTACTGAGCTTGATTTAAAGCCTTGGTTTCTCAGCAAATTAGCACTTAGAGGGTGGCACACATGAAGAGAGCTCCAGCTGTCCCAGCCAAGAGATATCTCCACTTGCTCCCACCTCACCACTTGTTTCTGCAGCTCCTCGGGCACCGGGAACACACCTTGCAGGACACAGACACGGCCCCAGCCCTGGCAACCTCACTGCCTTCCCACGGAGCCTGCTCACTTGCGCAGGCACAGAGGGGCCTGAACAGCAAAATGCTTCAGGGAACCAGGGCAAAAGAAACATTTCGCTCAATTCCCGATGTAGTTTATCTGCTTAAAGGGCAAATACGTAGACTGTAAATTTTAAAACCAAAGTCAAGCAAGCAGCAAGTAGGATGTCCAGATTTCAAAAGCCTCTCTCCACTATTAGTTACTAAACAATTCCTCTTGTGCTCAAGGTAGGTTATCCTCTGGCCCAGGCAAGATAACATGTTATGGAGATAACTGCACCAAATAGACACATTTCAGCTTGTGCTCTATTTTGCTAGAACCTCATTTAGGAGACAAGTCCAGAAATTAAATTACTGTATACATATTACACTCCACCCCACTGACAAAACAGGACTCAAATCACAAATTCAACAAGAGCAATAGGAAGAGCAAATATTTCATTGTTCTTTGGTCAAAGCAAAAGCTGTTGCAACTTACACCCAGAATGTTATAGAAGTGTTAGTTTACTGACAACTCCTTTCATTTAGCTTTGTCCAGTCACTAGAGTTCAGAGTTCAAGTTCAGAGGGACAACACAACAAGATTTTTGCAGTATTTTACATACAACATCAGTTTGGTGTCAGATGAGATGAAGGACTGGAGTATTCACAGCACAGCTGGCTCAGGGACCTATTATAGTATCGTAGATATTTTTCATATTGGTTTATCAAAAGAAAAAAAAAAGTTTCAGTCAACATTTGGAAGAGCTCTAAAAATGCTCTTCTGATTATAAGTCTGTTACGGTTGCTTTTTTGGCAGCCGGATTAAGTTTACTGAGGCAGTAACATGAAGAAAAAAAGGAAAGAGAGGAAAGTTGATGGGAGAGGAGAAAGGAAAGGCTGGAGATGGCCTGGCAAACACTCTTGCAGGCACCACTGCCAGAGCAGGACATCAGAGGGAAATCCTGATGCGGTGACTGTAGAGGCCCAGGTGGGACACGGTCACACTCAGCTGCAGCTTCCCCCTGAGCACATGGTGGGGGCAGCTTGGGCTCTTCCCTTCCGTCTGCCCTGTCTCACGTTACGGTTTGAAGAGCTTCAGGCCAGGGCAACCTCTGGCTGTGCATGTGCACGAGGTCTAGCAGGTCAGGTCAGTCAGCGCTACTGCAATACAAACCCAAGGTATTTCCTAACAAGTGACAGATGCTGGGCTCTTCTTTACAGTCACTGATCACAAACGAAAAGGGAAGCACATTTTTTCCTGCACAATTATTCCTCACGGGCCACTTAAGAGGACTTTACCCAGTCACTGCAGTTATAAGGTTTAGTACAGAGATGTGTTCTAAAATTTGAGAAGCCATAAGAACTAGACCTTAAATGGATATGTTCTTGAGAATACTTTTAATTAAAAAGAGTTCACCTGTACAATTGAAAATGTTAGAGAAGTTGTGTGGAGTTTACACCGACTCCGGAAGAGCTGGGGCAGGGCAGAGAGCTGTTACCCCGGCCTTGCGCAGAAGCACAGGATCATCTTTCAGGTGTGACGAGCTATTCAGCAGTCCTATCCCCACAGCTCTCTCACTTGAGCACAAGAAGAATAGTTTTCCTCAGGACGAAATGAAGCAGCAAGCGAGGAACTGAGCTGGTTGGAGAGTTGGAAGGAAGACACAGCACTGGGCAAAGACGGTACAGAGGTTTCTGTTAACACCAGATTTGGTCCTCAAACTTGAGTCTTGGCTTTTTTACAGGCTGGCAGTGTTGTTTCTTCCTCCTCAACTTTGCGAGGCTTCTTCACTGTGTACACCACCCCGCAGGCACTCTTCCGCGTTTCTGGAATACACAACAGCAGCTCTAGCATCTCAGATAGGATCATGCTCACACGCTCATGGAAGGGCCTTACTAATACTTCTTTAGTTCACAGACACTGGTGCAATACACTTAATCTGACCTATGCATTCTTCATCTGACTTAGGCATTTTGTTTACAGTGTCTTTGCTAAATATCCTCCTTTCTACCTTTCCAACCTCACCCGTCAGCAAGGGACTCGCAGTAACCACTCTCAGCAGGTACTCCAGCAAAGTCAGATTTTGTTGTATTGGCAATGGGGAATGTCAAGTTATTTCAGGAACTACAAGTTAAAAGACAAATAATCATCACCCTGAAAACTAAAAAAACTAGCATGATTTTTCATATCTACTGTATGCAGGCAGAGATAATGCTTTACACTAGACTATAGACTAAGGTCTAAAATCAGTCAGATGAGTCTCTAATTACTACTTTAGCCTTGCAGACAAAAAACACAGCATGTATTGTTTCACACTAACCAGAAGTAAACTGTCACAGCACCGAGTGTAAATAATCCTTAGAACTAATTTCTGTCTTCCATCTCTGCCCTTTCACTGCTGCATGTATGGGTAAGATGGAGCAACTGCAGCAGGGATCAGCAAGAGGAGGGATGTTTGGTATGGATGCAGGGGGTTGGGAAGCAAGAAAGGATTGGGCCTTCACACTTTCTGAAACACGTGATATTTTCACTATGCAGCATAACAGGCAGACCTGTGTTTTGGCCAACAGTTTACAAGTCTGTTTAATATGGTTAGTGAGTACTCCAGTACAGACAGCAGCATCGGTTCAGACACTGATTTGTTAACATAGCAACAAGGCCAAAAAAAAAAAACAAACACCAAACGTTTCTGTACAAGCTTCTCTTCACGAGTTGGACAAAGGAGGCAAAATCCAAAGCTGAGTCCCTTTGTAAAGTCTCAGACTGCATCAGTACAGACTTAGTTGAAAAAAAATGCACTTGTCACTTATAGAGAGGGGTTCACGTGTTTTTCACTTACCTCCATGCAGCAGGGTCGCTCTGCAGTTGGTAGACACGGCTGCCTTGGCATCACTTTCTGACATGCCAAACAGCAAACCTCTGTCACCTTTGTTAACGATCAAAACGTACAGAAAGGAGCAAGCAGACTAAGGAAGTCTGTCTGTAGGATAAGTTTGCTTATTCAACATAAAACCGCAAATTAGCAAAGCTGCAGATCAAAGTGACATCTTGCCTAAGGTTACCCAGGGGCTGAGAACCAAGGCACCCAATTCTCTTTTTCTGGAAATTTCCTAGCAGCCTCCCAAAAGGCTCTCATGAATGTTGTTTTTTATTCAGACAGGTAACTGTCATTTTGAAAATGAAAGACTGTTGACATAAGTACATTTCTTATATGTATCATCAAGTAAAAAAATTATCCCACTGAAAATTTCAGTTTTGTAGGAAACAGTGCTTTTAGACACAAAAACATTCTGCACAAAAAATCCCACCCGCCTCAAACAGGGATGACATCAAAACCAGGTATGTTAATTTGGGTTGAGCCTGACTGCTGTTTTCGAGAGGGAAGGAAACTTTGTGCGTAAAGTTCTTCCGGCCACGAATCCTCCCACTCGGTTCTCATGAAGCAAAGTGTGATCCTCTCCTCCGGAGACAACCCAGGCAGGGGTTGCTCAGGGTCACGGGGCAGGAGGAGGAGAAGGGCATGGAAACTCCTAAAAGGGGCAAGAACCTTTCTTGCTTTCTAGAACACACGCGCTGAGTGAACAGCATTACACAACCGAGGACTGAAAGTTAAGAACAGAAGTAACTAGCACTAGAATAGGAACTTCTCTTTCTTAATATAGTCATGCTTTTTTATATACACACACATGTTTGTGCACATATACACACATACAGATAGGTACCTTTTTTGCAATAAAAGACATGACACCTTGGAGATCATGATTAGTGATTTATAGTTTGGTCCAGTGTGTCTGTATTTTTATCCTATTTAAAGACCTATGATTATGATTGTTACTCATTCCTGCACTTACACCCACACCAGTGTCAAGATGTGTACCTGTACTCAGACACTGCTATTTGCAGTGACTGCTTAAGCTACTGCATGGCCAAGATCTGCTGCTTCTTCCGTGCCCGCTCACAGCCCTCATTCTAGCAATGAGTCAGCAACAAGCATCCCTGTGTACAAGGAGCAGGAAGGATGGAAGTATTTCAAAACCAATCTGACCTTCTACCTGTTACTATTAATTGCTGTCTTCAACTTGGATGAAGGATACAGATTAGCCACGTCATAAGGACCTCGTAGTTCTAGAGGCTAAAACAGAACAAAGAAGGCTGGATGCACACACGCACTTGCTCAAAGGCTGGCACAGTGCAGAAAAAAAGAGACAAAAGGTAATGCACCAAAAAAAAAAAAAAAAAAAAAAAAAAGAAAAGAAAAGAAAAGAAAAAAAATCCCCATCTGGGAGAAAACTGCTATGGAATACACAAGGACAACAACAAAAAAAGTAATTATTTGGTAACACAGACTCATAAAAAATATGAGAAATACAAGATGGTATTTCTTATATTTAAAGTTAAAATATTTATATGTTTAAAATAATTAAAGTAGTATCTTCAGCTAAAAATAAATCCTCATTTTTTTCCAATATTAACAAGCATCTGGGACTTACCTTTTCAGCTGCACTTGACAGAACAATGTTCTAGAAGACAAAAAGAGAACAAACACTCATCTGTCAAACAGCATCAAAAAGAGGAAAAACTGCAGGCAGCACAGACTTTGTGAGCCCTACCTGAAGTTCAAGCTCACAGCCCAGCTGACTGCCGGAGAGCAGCTGCTGTCCCAGGATGAGGGGATCCCTGGGAGCCCTCAGCTCGAACACAGCCAAGCAACCTGCCGCCCCCCTGCAGCACGAGGGCCACGCGGAGCAGCACCCGCCGTGGGGACAGACGTCCCCGGGACCGACGTGAGCCGAGCGAGCAACGCGCCTCGCGGGCGGCAGGCTGAGCCACCTACATCTCCAAGCGCTGGTATTAAGCGAGCCCTTATGAACCTCTGTCTTTTACACTCCACTTCAAATGGGGCTTTACATAAAGGGTAAAGAAGAAATGTGGTTACACACAGAGTGTTAAGACATATCCCAATTTATTTACACTGGTTAGAAGAGACAAGGAGCGATGGGCCCTCAAGAGCCACAGGCCTCGTGACACCTGCTGAGCGCCATCAAGAAAGGTGCATGTGGCAAGATGCACAAACGACATGACGCGACCCAAGCTCTAACGCAGATGGATTTAGGAGCCCAGCACACCCCCCAAGAGGCTTAAGGACTGTATCTTTAGACAGCCTGGAGCTCCTGAATTTTTAGTCTACTCTCTGTGAGGCAGTTAAACCCCTAGTCCCCCTAACCTCAGCACCTGCACAGGCCCTCATTAACACCTGCTGAGGAAACTGGTCTGCAGTTAAGCAATGGCAGCCTGAGAATCAGTGGGCAAAGAAGAGTCCTTCTCCCTTCCTCTCTCCCACAGGGTTTCTACAGAAGAGGTACGTGACTGCTCAGGGGCTCAGACACAGCAGCTCAGCTGCCAGCTCTTCATGGTAACCCTCCACGGATGCTCACCCAGGGGAGGCTGTTTCGCACAGGTAGAAACTTCCTTCTGCAGCAAAAGCAAAACATACTTGCATCTTTTCTTCTATTGAAGAAAAGACTTCGGGAATTCCCATTCGAGTGGTGGGAACGGGAACTGGTACTGAGGCAGCAAGACTTTCCCTCTTTGGCATCAGTACCATCAACACATCACACCATCCCCGCTTGCAAGGGGGGCTCTCACTACTGCTCTGCTTCACTTGTTCTTCCACCTCCCCAGCACAAAGGGCAAAGCAGCCACTGGAAGAAAATGCTACTTGCACAGCTGGAGCTCAAACCACAGAAAAGCTACTTGCACAGTAGCCCTGCTCACACTATGCCTAAGGTTTCCTCGCATTGTGAGGAGGAAAGGACAGGACTAGACAACTCTGCCTCACGTAAGGAAAAGCATAAATGGAATAATATATGCATCAAAGTAGCTTAACAGCACACAACACAATGGAGACTAGAACACTCCTTTTCCTGCAGTTCACCTTTAAAATGACTGCCTTATGGATCCCATGGGGATTTTGGGCTTCAGCAGTGCTGACTGCAAGAGCTCACTGGGAAAATTTAAGCTTCCTGCTCCAAGCTGCAGCAGCCACTGCCCATCTTCTGGCCTCAGCCACACTCCAGAGTGGCTCTGCCAGCCGTCCTGAGCCAGCACAGGATCCCTGCTCGCTGCTGCAGTGTCTGAGATGGGCTCTGCTGACACCAAGGTGGGTGCCTTCCAGTCAGGGTGAGAAGGAGACAAGAGTGGACAAGAAAAGTTCTGCTACAGAATGAAGGAGAAACAGGCAAAGGCAAACCCATTGGGACAGTAAAAAGGAAGAACTTAAAGACAAAACACTATTTCCTCAGGTAAAGAAGAAAGCAGCAGCTCAGTACACTCTCCAGAGACAGTATCCATGCTCAGTTACCAAACCCTGCATGGCAGCAGGATTGTGCATATACCTGTCTGTCTGGTGAGACAAGTCAGTCATCCCCTCAACTCATACACACTTTAACTTGTTTTAGAGACCTGGTTTGAGGCTAGCTCTGAGGATACCAGCAAGTTTCTGGAAGTTTCCCTGTCTTGCTACAAAAGAAGAGATAAAAGAATCCAAGACAAGCTAGCAGTCCATTCCCAACTTTTCCACTGCCTAACAACAATTGTTGTGCTCAGCTCCAGCCAGTTTACCTTCCAGGCATAAATGATGCACCAGGTCGACACATGCAGAAAGAAAGACAACTCTGCACAGACCTAATGTCACTTGCTCTGTGAGGCTACCGCAACTTTTGCTACCCAAGTCAACAACCGCATGTGGTACAAATCTGTAATTGCACAGAGGGAAGAGGAGCAGGGTACAAAGGAATCCCAAGGGAAGGGATTTTATGTGCCTCGTCTCCAAGGCAGTAGTCTGTGTGACTGACAACCAGACCTGGGCTTCTTAGCAAAGGCCATGTAAGCAGTTACACTTTTTACTTTGTTGCACCAAGCGAATTCCTCTCTTTGAACCCCTTCTCTGTGCTGTAAGGCAGGCCTGGTCCTGTAGTAACGTATCTCCCTTTACTTGCACCTCCCAAACTCTGTACCCCTCTTTAGACTAGACTTGCTGGGCAGTGTAAGTTTTGGCTTCTCTGGACTAGCTAAGCACAAAGACCTTTTCAAAATTGATGGTGGGAGCTACAATCTCTTTTAACTCAGTTATGAATTATGATACGCTTCTGTTAAAAGCATGTGGCCTGTGAGGACCCACATGACAGGCAGCATAGCTTGGGGAAAGGTAAGATATGAAAGCAGAGGGGCACAAGCCAGCTGCAAGTATTACTCCTTTCCTCGGTTTCAGCAGCAGGGAAGATGCAGTTTATCTGACTGCAGCAAAGCTCTGGCTTACAGCCAGCTAGCTGTGGGATCTGGTTTGTGCGCTGGGAATTTACTAACAATTTAACAAAACAAGACTTCTATCTTTTTTCTTGGTATTTTATCCCTTATTCAAGGCATACACACTCTCTCAACAAAACAGCCTTTGAATAATTAGAAATTTGAAATGCAATCTTTTAAATAGATGCATACATTTCAATTCCTTAGATCTCTGGGACTTTTTTTTTCCCTTTTGTTTTTGGTACTGTGTACCAGGATAATGATTTGACAACTTAAGGCAAAAGTGTGCAGTGGTGCATGGCTGGAAATACCTGCAGCTGGAATAAATGCTTGCTTGTATCTGTAGGCAAAGGTTCAGTCATAAGTACAGAAACCCCAGCATCAAACTCATTTAAAATGGCTCAGTCTGTGCAACTCCAGAAGAATTTGAATTAATGACCTTGTTTTCCCTGTGAGAGCTTACCTTTCCTTTGCAGATCTGCATCAGGCTGATCGCATTTGAAATTGTGTATCTTCTCATTGTGGAGTCTTTGATGGCAGATGCGTAAAGAAGTTCAAAGTAAATGCCTCGCTCTATTGCCTTCACATGAAAGGATGTGATTAAAAAAATAAAAGAAGCATAACAATCTAACAACTGCTGTTTATTATTGACGCAACTTATTCTCAGTTTAACTGTACTATATATGAAATAATTAAAGCAGAATGTTCTAACAGGAAAACAGCATAGCAGGAAAGATGGAAAAAGATATTTCACTGTATGCCAGGTATGTGCACTTGAATCTTCAACTGTTAAATAAATGAGGCCTAACAAAGAAATGGCATCTACCTAATCACAGTGATGAGAAGGATAATCACCTTTAGCCAAAAACAAGAATGATATTTTAAGGATACCCTCTGTAGCCCCACAGCTTGCCATAAAGATGACCACTTTCTCCAGTATCCATGTCTTGCAAATGAAGAAACTGCCCTCGCAGAAAAGCAATGGGGAAGTCCCTCCTCTCTTCTGTCTCACAACACAGTGTTATTTGTGACAATTTTTGAAGAGAGCTTCCAAACTGTAATAGTTAATACCTTTTCAGTTGCTTTAAAATCCTTTGCTACCTACCCAAGTGTTTCGCCAAAAGCCTAGTGTTGTTGTTCTTGTTAACACACAGAGATAAGTAACTTGCCATTGGATACTCAGTGCTTAGTGATAGAGACATAGTTCAAAGCTAGGAGCACCTGGTTCCACTGCTTCTATTAAACTAATCTGAAATGTTGTTCTATGGTTTATACTCATATTATTGAAATAAAAATGATGTAGTGTTAATAGTGTAAAGAGAATCTGGTAATTGAACACAGATGTAATTAATCCAGCTACCATTCACGCATAAAATCTGTGTACATGCGGAACAGAGGTTACACACACATCAGATGTTCTACACAGAGCTTCCAACAAGAAGAAAAGCCTAAATTTATCAAAAGCAGAACGGGTAATGACAGTACAACCATCTCAACTAGCTTCAAGGTGGGCCGATTTTTAACCTCATCCCCAGCACTCCAGCTGCCTGCCCAGCATCACTGCTAGACTGACTGCCCAAGAAGCAGAAAACCAGTCTGACAGACAGACTGCCCCGAAGCTGGGAGCGGGGAAGCTGAGGAGCTGCTCCCGATGGAAATAGCTCTAAATGCAGCTACTGGGGGCCCTCTTGGCCACCCCGCTCCTCACCTGGGTCAGCTGGTGGAGTTCAGGCATTTAAGGTAGTTTCAAACGGCATTTTTTTTTTATTATTCTAAATAAGAATATTGAAATTCCCAGTCTGTTGTAAACTCCAAGATGTTACTTCTGTTGTTTCAGGATTAATTCTACATATTTTTTAAATCTATGCTAAATTTTCTCTAGAAGGGGAAATAAGATTCTAGGCAACTCTAACTTCAATTTCTATGCTCCAAGGACCGTACCGGCCACGAATGTGTGCATAGAAGGAACCCTGACACACACTCAGGGGAAAAATAACCTAAGAGCAGGCTCAAATTAAGTTTTCTGACAAACTACCAGCAGTAGGCAGGATTGTATTAAAGTAGTTGATCTATAGCTGATGTACTGTTTTAAAATCAACTTGTGTGCCACAGCAAATACTTAGCAACTCCGCATTCAGTTAATTTCCCAAGACATTCTTTTGTCTAAGTCAGGATTCAATACAGTTGTTCTCCAAACAACTGGCACAACACCCTTTTCCCAAATTAACAGTCACTGATGTTCTCCTATTTTACCAGCAGCAGGGCTATTTATCCATTCTGACAGGGCTACATCGCCCTGTTTGGGAGGCAGCCTGGTCAGCAACCACACCAAATCCCACAGCTTGGCACAGCAGAGGCCTGTGGGCTCTGTTCCATTCCCTGGGAATACCACTTTTGCCTCCTTAAGTGGGGGACAAGAAGGAGAAAGGAAGAACATACATCATTGCATATTAAACACTAAAGTTGAGGCCTTGAAGTGAAGGACATCTAAAACAATTCTAGATGTTATGCAAGACAATACAGGAACCACTTGGATAGGAATAGTGGGAGGGAAATTGCAGGGAATTCAGCTCAGACTGACAGTAAATACCGAACTTAATGGCAAGAAAACAATTTAGATGTAAATTTACCACATTCACAGGAGGCCTTCGGAAGTAGAATGGTAGCTTTTCTGTTACATTTATGCATACCAGATCCACATCTAGGGTTGTGCAAGCAATCTGCAGCAAAAAAAACAATCAGTAGATTATTAGATATGCCAAAAAAGCACCTTTGGGTGTACTAATACCCTTAATTTCTTAATACAGGGTATGTCTCTCCAGAGTGAATACAGTTTTGAAACAAAGAGGTACTACATGTCTTACAGGTATGCCAATAAAAGATCAGAGCTACAGGTGCACAGCCTAGTATATGGAATATTTAAGACACAAAATTCTCTCATTTACAGAGCTACTTTTCCAATAAAACAACCACCAACATAAAGACAAGACTCACTGCTTCATTCTTACCTGCTAGAGGACATGCAAAAGGAGTGCTGGCATTAGGGGAACTAACTCATGACTAACAAAAGACAACTCATCCCAAAAAGAAGAGTCCAGGAACCATCCCTGCCCTTGCTGTCCTCTAACCCCAGTGGTGCTGCAACGCGGGGGCGACTCACGGGGCCTCCTGTTCTGGGGTGGGGGCAAATGCACAACCCTTCCTGAAGGCCACGTCTCTAGAGGCGCCCCAAGCTGCGCACTTGAGGTCCCGGTTGGAAAGCTTAGCTCCGAATTCCCCTGCAAGTTACACCTTTGCTAAAAGAGGAATGAATAAAGGGTGGAGAATCTCCACACTGACACACAGAGCAAATTCAGTGTACATAAAAGGGAGCTCCTGATTTACATATAATCTCACGCACACAAGACTTGAAGGAATTATATATGCCTACCCTGTAAAGATGATTACACAGGACCAGATTAATTTCTATAAGCAGCACAGTAACAAAGAAGATAAAGTGGGGCTAAAAATGTCCAAAAGGAATTTTCTGTTCGTAGGGGAACTCTGCACTGAGAAACCTGCCAGCTACTGCTCCAAGTGCAACTGGGCTGGCTGCCAACCATTCACCCCTTCCTGCACTAGCGTGAAGGCAGACGGGGCTGCAGCACAATCCAAGGCCTGGGCAGCAGGGAAGAGGGACTGTGACTGGGTACTCTAATGAAGGGCCCTGCAAACTAGTCTTTTTGGCTTTGCAAACTTTTTTTTTTTTTTAACCTTTTTGTTCACAGCATTCCCTCCTAGATAAGAGACTCACAGCCCAAATGTGATGTAACCAGACACAGAAAAACACAAGACTATTGTGTTAAACCAAATCCACTAGGCCATTTAAACTTTATCTTAATGCTTTACCAACTCTGTCAGGTGGGGCACAGTTTTAAACTATTTTAAACGCAGGTCTAACCTGATGCAAGTTTGGCCCAACTGCAGGCAGTTTTAATTCCTCTGCTTATGTGCTGTACAAGCTACCATAGAACCTACCACTGGGACAGGCAATTCACAGGAACACACAAAGCAGACTGCTCTGAGTCACATCCTAGAAAAGATGTTGGCAAGATCACAGGAAACACAGAAAGAGGGAAAAGCCCCAGAATGAAGAAAGGAATGAAGATATGAAGAATACAAACCAGGAGCACACGGGTCACACTGTGTTGTGAAAAAAGTGAGCCTTCCTAATCAGGTCCAGAAATGTTGGAAAATTCTTTGCCATGTTGCAAGTCAACCATGGTGGGAAGGAAGTGAACCAAACACTGGTGTATCTGCAGGACTCCAGTGACAAGAACACTTGAGAAAACACCACTAAATAAAAACAAAAATTGAGAGTCACTCCTTCCCATACAGAAGAGTTTCTGAACTGCAAGGAAAGAGGGGAGAAGCCCCACTTTCAGCCCCACTGCAGCTCCTGGAAAAGCCTCATGCTGAGGCAGATCACACAGCCTGCTGAAAGCATCCGATGGGCAGCAGCTGCCTAGGGAGAGGGATGGACAGCAGCAGCAGCCGTCCCCGCGCAGCAGCCCCAGCTCTGGCTTCACGGCGGGCAAGAGCCCCATCTGGTGGGAGCTGCAACACAGCCAGAAACAGATTAGCCAGAGCCTGGGCCCCGGCTCTGCTTTGGGAAACTACTTATGAGCAAACATGGAAATCTGGCTTTGCAGTGCATCCTCCGACTTACAGACGCAAGATCGATCTGTAGATCGTGGTGATCTGCTAGTGGCCTACAAACAGCGGGTGTAACTACCTAAGGTGATGAGAAGAGTTAGAAACCTTCAAGAGTAAAATTTTTAAAAAGGCACAGGCCCTGGTCTTACCACCACGGACAGCATCATTCCAGTTCAGATCACAGCCCTCTCAGGAGATTTAGAGTAGAAGCAGGTTCTACAAGCACTTTGCAACCGAAGTGTCACCATACTCGTAAGCAGGTGAAGTATCTGAAGAATGTGAGCACATCTTTCTGCCTCTCAGTGCCAGGAAAGCCTCCCCAGCTCGTGACAGGACAGCCCAGAATTGTTTAGGTCATGCTAAAGTTAGAGCACATCTCCACTGGCCGTACGTTTCTTTCACAAACACATGAAAAATACTGTTTCATGGAGACTTAACTCACGTACTTAGCTTTCAATGAGAAAGATGATGATCTTTAGGCAGTGTTGAGTTATTAACAGAAAATTGTAAAACACAGTTAATATGATGCAAGATCCGCCCCAGAAGGCTTTATCCTTAACATCGAAAGATCCATGAATTACAAGAGCAAGAAGAACATACTGAGAGTCGGATGCGTGATGTCATCTACGCCATTCAGATTCTTCCTACGGATACCTCTAAAAACTCACCACAGTTCTCCACAGAGGCTGAGGCAACTCAGAAGCTTTAAACAAGAGACACAAACACAAAGCTGCTCTAAAGGTGAGCATGCAACAGTCTTTCACCTTGTGCAGTTTCTAAGAAACACTCTTGGGTTTCCTTCCCAGATCAAAATGTCACCAGCACAGCAGAAATGAAGATGCTTTTGTGGACAACCTGCTTCCTTCCTGACACGTCTATCACCTGTGAGAATATCAGCTTAAGCAGCCGCTCCCTGCACCAGAGCACGGCCACCCTCTCCTTCATGCTGGGACAACCCTGAATGCTGAGTCAGAAAGGGAGTGAAGATTTATTTGAAACTTGCCAGACTATGGTTACTGTTCAGCTGAAAGGCAGTTCCTCAGCCCAAACATCCATGCAGCTGAGCCCAGTGCCTCACCAGCAGAGCAGACAGCAGCACTGCTTTAGCTTTCGCGGTGACCAAAGTTTTCTAAGTGCTGATAATATTGATGTTTTATGCTTGCTATCAGTTACAGTACAAGAACACCACAGCGGAAGCACCTACAACTCCAATGACCAGGTAGATGCTTCATATTTTAACAAGTCTCCTCAAGACCTTGTGCCCTACTGCAATCCTCTCAGCTTTTTCAGTTTGTGAAGTGCCCAGGGAGCCAACACTATTTCATTAGCCACACGATATTCAGGCCTGTATAAAACGGGAAGTTAAATAAAAACAAAATATGTACATGGACTAACTCAAAGCACTTAAAAGATTATCACAGCACTGGCATTACCAGTAAATAGAGAGACAACAGTTCTACTTACATGGAACAGTTTCTCGGTCTTAGGAAATACTGCTATGATGTCATATAACCTTATGTTTGTAGATGTTGATCGCTACAAGAGGAAGAAACTGTTAGTAATTTGACTTCTAGCACATGCCAAAGATAGGCACTATGATTACTACCAAAATAATAAGAAACCTCCTTCTCCATTTTACAGTACTACATCAAAGTCAATAACGCTCCAGCGAGACTAACAATTTTACTTAGTCTGTTTCTGCTGTGAGCAATTCTCTGTAGTCATTTTGAAACTTGTCACATCTGCCTAGTAAGGTAGCATTAAAATATTAAATAAATAGAGGGCTTGCCCATGGTGTCCTTACCAAGAATTCTAGATTTGTACATTCTAGATTCAAGTCTGTATCTCTTCATGATCACTTTACTTTCTAAAGATGCAATCTGAGAAAAATCAATGCTGAGTGACCTGTGAAATTCATTAACTTCCACCCTACAAGATTTCATTCTTTCACTGAGAAAAGGAAACAAAACTTGAAAAATTAATACATCAAATATACTTACCAAGAGATTACAGTGAGAAGGATCAGAAACAACAAGTGTTAGCCGGTTTAAGACTTTAATTTGTTTAGATGTCCCCTACAAGGAAGAAGTACAGAAAAGGCATTAAAAGCTGCAAAGCAAAAACTTACAGTGAGAATCATCCTGTCTGCTCCAAAAAAAAAGTGGCACTTGGCTCATACTCTTCCCTATACTGACTTCCTACAAGTCTGTTTTACATTGATCTTTTCAGTATCACATCTGTCCTTCAGAAAGGATGATTTATGGCATTTCTGTGAAGAAAAAGAAGTGGACTGAAAGAAAAACTAAAAACAAACAAAAAAAGACAGAAAAAATAGTGTATTTTGCTAATACTGTTATGGCTCCCCAGCACTCCCCACACATGAGCGAGAGTAACTTCTTAATCAATACATCAGTGATTTGAAATATAGCCTTGGTCCATTAAATGAAAACCTTGTTTCAATAAATCCAGAAAGTTATTTCCAAGACTCAGGCGTTTTAAATTCAAGTACTACACTACAATTATTCAACTGCAAAAAGCTCCAAAATTCACACGAAGCAACTTTTAAAAGCATTTCTAAAATTAAAGACTAGAGTGTCATCTAAAGTGAGTGTATAATTCTTCCAGTGTAGGAGATTCTAACAGTAAAGCAATAGAAAAAAAAAATCTTTTTTGATTAGTACCTGATGTACAATAATTGCATACACCAACATATAAAGGTTAACATATAAAGTAAAAATATAACTTTCAGAATAATACCATGTAGATGAAAGGTAAATTGACTTACCTGTACAATAGGCAAAGATGGAAACAACTCTGTAGGAGGCACTGGCTTGACAATTTCCTTGAGAGAGAGACAAAAAAAGAAAATGATTCAAAATACAGCAGCATGCATTTAGAATATAAACAAAAGCTTGTTTTCAATTCTAAAAAGAAATTTGCTATTAAAACAACAACGAACCTATTTTCCCGGGACAATTTAAGGACTGAATTAAATGCCCACTGCAAGGCAGTAATACTGAAGTCTCAAATTGCAGTTTTGTTGCAAACAGAGGCTTTTGTGCACATGCCCAGACAAGCTCTCCCAAGAGAAATTCACCGGGGAGCACATATTAAATTAGGCTGCTTCATGAAACAAAACATACTAAGGACAAATGCTCCCCCCAAAAAGTTACCTGTTTCTTTTCTTTAAAATCGATGACATGATTAAGCGCCACTGCCGAGTATCCCACTGGAAGAAGTGAGCACAAACGTGAGGGCTTTGCCCAGTAAACTAACGCTGAACAAACTAATACTAAAATAACAATTCCAAACAGACAAGCTCAGCACATAAACACCTCAAAATTAACACCGATTCGCATATTTGCCTCCTGCGTTACCACTTTCTGGGGATTAACCCATTAAAAAAAAAAGCGTGTTAACCCCGGAGACGGCGACGGCCTTTCAGCCGGGGCCGCGCGGGCCGCCCGCTCCCCAAGGGCTCCCGGTGAAGCCCGGGCC